ACAGGAATAGATTGTTTGCCTATCACCAGGTTCATACGCCTCCCCAGTTTTTTGAACAGGAGTAGAGGTTTATCACTTGTTCCTTGTTTAGGATTGGGTTTCCAGTTCCTTCAATGCTGTACTTGTGATGTCTCTGCCTGAAATCTGAAATTTTATTCAGTAATTATTATTATTTTTCCTTTCCCAATAGGAGTAGATGGGTTTGCTATCATCCGGTTCACACTCTCCCCAGTCTTTTGAACAGGAGTAGAGTTTCCAGTTTAGTATTGGGTTTCTGGTTCCCTCTAAAGTCTACTTCAAATCTATACTTTTACTGTCTTTGCCTGAACTCTGGAATTTTAATCACTAATTAAATCTTGACCTTTTCAAGTTTAGAGTCAGCTGTTATCTTTCCTGTATAGTCCCAAAAACTTCACTTCTTGCCCTTTCTTATGCTAATACAACTCCACAAAGTATCCTTCTAACTTGAGTGGCTCTTGCGCCTTGTATTGGGTGAACATTAGTAAAAAAAAAATTCAAATCTGAAATAGACAGTCCTTGGATATATTTATTACGTTTCGGCCATTGTACGCTCTGGCCTTCTTCAGGTGGTTGGAATGACATCCATTAAACATGGCACGTGGAACTAGAACAGCCTACCCCAGTGAGCGAAATAAAGGGTTCAGTTCAACATTCCAACCACCTGAAGAAGGCTGGAGCATACAACGGACGAAATGTTGTAATAAATATGGCGACAAAGATGAGGACAATAGTCTGAATAATGTACATAATACCTTGTCTCTGAAATATAGACTGACTTCAAATGGTTGTATATTTTGGCTTATACTCTTTTCCTGTTATCCAGGAGTTGTTGCCAAACAGAAAAGGGATGTAATGCACATCTATTTCAGTTACATTCAAATAGTGTGTGTATTTATTTTAATGACAGACTTTAAAATGAAAAAAAAAAACTTTAAAAAATATTTATATTATTTACCAAATAAGATAAAAGGATTTTTTTATAGGGAGAAGAGGGGATGTCATGAATAAGCACAACAAACAAAACTTAAAACTCTCGTAGTGAAGTTTGAATAAAATTTTACTTTTATTAAAAAAAAACATTGAAAACAGAATTGAAAAAATGCAAATAACATTGCATAAAATTTTACTTTTGTGTTAAGTGTTCACTTTAGGCCAAATAACATATTAAAAAAGACATACTATTTTCTTTAGGCTCATAGGGATAAAAACAATAGCTTTTTCAAAAATTGGTACACTTATTAAAGAGCCAAAGTCTTGAGATGGTTGACAAATTCACCAGAGTTGCCAGGTCTTAAATTTTAGTTCACAAATGGAACCCCAATATCAAGATAAATCTTGTTATATTCTTTAATCTTACTTATTATAAAATGCAGATTGTGTGTGTGTGTGTGTGTGTGTGTGTGTGTCTGTACGTTTATATATTGGATTGGATTTCCTACATTTTTTAACCGATTTCACCAAAACTTCACAGGACTACGTAAAATTACCTTGTGGTAGTTCTGACAGTGCCAAAAATGGGAAAAACACAATTGTTTTTGCACGAAATCAATTTGAAAACACGATTAAGAGGCATTAATGAAAGGGGGACAACTCATATCGAGTTATACTTATTAATATAGAGTTATCGAGTTATACGTATTATAAAACCCAGGTTGGTTGTTTGTGTGTGTGTGTGTGTGTGTGTGTGCGCGCGTTCATTTATATATGGGATCGGATTTCCTACATTTTTCAACAGATTTCAACAAAACTTCACTTTTTTTTTGGCAGGTAGTGTTTCTTATTGCCTTGCACACTTTTTTCTTTATTTTTACATTCAGAATGCTTTAAAAATTCCATTTACAAGACAATTGTTTATAATAAAATTCTATTCAATCGGTAGACTCATAACGATTGAAAACAATGTTTTTGTTTGAGTTTGGGTTTGACCAATTCGTAAAAAAACAAAAAAACAAAACAAAACAAAAAAACTAGTTAAGACATGCGTGTTTGTCGACCTCAAACAATAATCTTTGTCAATTTTATTTTTCAGTCTTTATGATGGTCGATACTTGATCTATCTCTTACTGTTACATCCCCGGGCAACGCCGGGCTATACTGCTAGTAAACAATATTCTTTTTTACCTTTAATTTGGGGAATTTTGATGTCTTTAATTTTGAGATTTTTTGATACATTTAATTTAAGGATTTTTGATACCTTTAATTTTGGGATTTTTGATACCTTTCTTTAATTTCGGGATTTTTGATACCTTTCTTTAATTTATGGATTTTTCATAGCTTTCTTTAATTTATGGATTTTTCATACCTTTATTTAATTCATGGATTGTTCATACCTTTCTTTAATTTATGGATTTTTCATACCTTTTTTTAATTCATGGATTTTTGATACCTTTCTTTAATTCATGGATTTTTGATACCTTTTTTTAATTTATGGATTTTTCAATTTTCTTTTCTGCTTTTAGTTCTTTCAGTTTCTTCATCTTTTTCTTTCAGTTTTATTTTTATTTGTTTCATTCTTTCTCTTTATTGTTATTGGCTGTCTCCTAAGACCAACTTGACTCATTAAATTTGTCCCAACAGGCTCCAGAATTGAATCCAAAATTTTAATTTGCATGGAATGAAGTTGCCTTCCTCACTGGCTAAAAAAAAAATAAAACACAAAATTGTATCCCTTTTTTAAAATTTAAAATACAAATCTTTCACATTATCAAAACATCAATTTTATTTTGGTGATTCATTTTACAACCTCAGATTTGGTCAAACCATTTTTTAGAAAGTTTAAAAAACAAATCTTGCATATCAAATTTATTAGTCATTTTTTATTAACCCTCTGGCTTTCTTTTTATTTTAAATACTTCTCTTAAAAGAAAGTGTAATAAACAAACCTAGTCTATTAAATTATTTTTTTGTATTCACTTTGTTATATAATTTATTTTTATTCACTGTTTTATATAATTTATATTTTTTATTATATAATTTTTATATTCTCTCCTCAAAAAAAAAGAGCAATAAACTTGTTTGGGAAAGATTCCTTGGGTCAACGTTTGAATAAAAAAATAAGAGAAAAGATTGTTGCGTGTTCAAATAAAATGATATTTAAACGTAGGATACACAACTTTTAACTGTAATTACTTATCATGAAATGAAAGTTAGAATGTTCTTTTCTTTGACTGAAAGGAAATGAACATGAATAGGCTTTTTAGTGAGGAAGAGAGAAAGTGGAATTGAGAGACAAGATCAAAGGGTGTCCACTGTTGATTTGATAAGAAAGACAAGACGCCGAGCTTGACTCGTGTCTCTTTACTCCTGTCAGCAGTCCTTCTGCTGAGGTGAATGAATGTTTGGTTTTTATGGTATTGTGTTGTAGGCTCCAGAGGCCTGTGTTTATTTACTGGCGGGAGCTGATTTTATTGGCTTTTTATTTTTATTAAATTGAAAATTTGAGTTATGTCTGAAACCTGGAAGGCTGCGTGGAGCCCTTGTGCAGTGTGTTTAATTTTTTGTCATTTTTCTTTGATTTGATGTTGTTCACTTCAGCCTTCTTTACAACGTTAATTTATTATTGCGTTATTATTTATTTACCCTTTAATTTATTTTATATAATTTTACATTTATTTTTCATTATAGAAATTTTTATAAAGTTTCAAAAACTTCAATAAAATCCTATTATCTTTTTTTTTTCCAAATTTTAACATTTTTGCAAAGTCCAAAATAGGGGTTGTCCAGGCAGAGTGAGAGTGGAATGTAATGTCTTATTTCAAATTCATTCAAATTGTGCGCTCATGTGTGTATTAATGACACAAACACATGTAAGTCACTCATGCACAACAGATATACGGATACATTAAAGAAAGTTAACGTGCTTGTAGACAGAGTGACATACAGAGATTATGACGGACAGAAAATCAGTTCTTTTTTATTTTATTTCTTTAAAAAAAAAGGAAAGAAAAACTTTCTCAGATTCATTGTAAAATTGAAAAATGCTAACATTCATTAAAGCAGAAGCTACATTTTTAACACTGTAAGAATTTCTTGTTCACTAAGTAACAATGAATATTTCCATGAAAATGGCAAAGATTTTTGGCAAAATTTTCTATTTATTTGTTTGGGAAAGCTACGCACTTTGAAACTTGGTGGGTGGTTCACAAAAAAAAAAAAAAAATACGAGAGAAGGAAACCATCAATTTACGGATATAAAATGATCTTCCTTAGTATTGCTATATATAGAAATTTGCCATATTAGGTAAGGTAAAAACAAAAATTAATGAAATTGTTCCATTTTTTTTTCTTTCTTCATTTTTCCAAGAATTATTAAAATAAAAAAGGTGTGCTTGCATCATTTTCCCAATAATTGTTTCTACTTTCCAGCAAAAATTAAGTTTTGATTTTTTTTTAGTTAATTTAATTTTTAAAACAAATATATAAATTAGGTTTAATGCTATTTATAGTAAACACGTACATATATTTAATTTAATTTAATTTAATTTGATTTGATTTGATTTGATTTGATTTTTAGTTACCACGTCGTAAACTATTGAGTTTTAGTTATATAAACATATGCGAAAAAGCGGCTTTGAATAAGTTTCTTTACCTAAATAATGTTATATGGGTAACATGAAAATAATATGGAATTGTGAAATTTATTCATTTCATTAATTTTTTTTTGTTTTAAAATGTTGAAAACATTCTAATTCATAATATATTTCTGAAAAATTATTTTTATATGGTAAACCTAAAAAAAATTATGAACGTCCATAGTTCACTCCCTTTAATTATGCGGAAGTAGTTAACTTCCCATTTATCTATTTTGTAACGTAAGTTGTATCAAATAACTTTCGGTTTCTTTATTTATACTAAATCATTTACTTTTAGAATACCATTTGATTTCTGTAACATTACGGCGGGCTTTTATTTTCACTTATTATTATTTTATTTCATATTTCCAAGTGCATTCCTCTGTTTGTATTGTAACTTTACATAAAATGGCGGAAACGTTTGTAGTAAGAGATGAATTTACTGTCGAACACAGTTCCATTAACATAATTCAAAACAATGAAGCAAAACTCGATAGATTTTTCAACGTGAAAGTTATTTACTTAAGCAGGAACGGCGGTAAAGTAAAGAATAATTTTGAGTGGTTAAGACTAGAAGGAGACGAGGATAATCGTCAAAATGCCAAGGTAAGAACAAACATTTACAATTTGTTTAGTTAAAGAAAGCAAAATAATTTAAAAGATTCTCTTTTTATCGTTTATCTATGTGTCCTTCAGACTTTGAATGAAAATGTCTCTCCCTTGTAGTTGTTTAGTATAAATTTTCTTAGTTTCTCAAATGAATAAGGTTGTATTGTTTTGGCTTTTCTTGTTGACTTTTAGTAGCAATATGGCTGTTTACTGTGGATAATAACTTCACATTGTTTTTGTTTACATGAGGCGATGGATCATTGGCTCGTCTCTCTATCTCTCTTTGTGTAAAAATTTCGTTTAAAAATCCATCACTCAATATATTTCGAAATATTTCCTCTACTCTAACGGTAGTTTTGTTGTCTTTGTTTTTGTTTTTATATGAATTAGAACTATTTTTTTCTCTCGAAATAAAGAAACATTTGTTTTTGGCCAAACAAGACCGAGAACACTTAACGTAACAGTAAGAAAGTAAAAATAAAACAAAATTTAATTTTGCTTCAAGTATGAGATATTTTTTATTTTACAATACATTATCGACTTAAATTGTATTTTTTATTTTTTGTAAAAAAAAAAAAAAATAAATAAATAAAATATAGCAAATAATTTCTTCGATCATTTTTTTTTTTTTTTAAAACAAAGAAAATTAATATAAAAAAATAAGATAAAAATATCGAAAACTTTTTAAAACGTTTTTACACGTGGAAAGATTTCCAGGTTAACATCTTGATCTCTTTTCTTTTGAACATTTTTAAACGTCTGATTAATAAATAATAAATGTCAACATCAGTGAATACAGTTCTATTAATTAATTCAATAACAAGTTTCTTCTAAATTGTTACAATACTTTTATAATTTCTTAATTATTATCTTTTAAATAGGCATTTTAATTTTGTTTTAAAAGCGTGAAACGCGATGTAAAATCTATTTAACGACTTTATTTTCTACAGACTTTTTTTTTTTTTTTTTTTTTTTTTAAGCATTTTTTTTATTATTATTAATTTTTGTAGTAAACATCATTCAAATTCAAATATATAGCAGATTTTTTTATTTTTTAACTATTTAAAAAGTGTAAAATTACTTTCTAAAAGATTTAAAAATTAAAATTTTTTAATCCTTTCGCAAATTTTCGTTATTCGTCGACCTCAATTTAAAATCTGTCTTTGTTTTAAAAAAATGTAAAAGATTTCATGCGAGTATGATTTTGTTGCCTTGTAAACGGTTTAAACAGAATAAGATCTTTTTTTAAATATTTCTCCTATGCCAGCTGTACAATTAAATAATTTCAGTGTTATTTTTACGTAAAATTTAAAAGTACACCTCTTTAGAACGTATCTCGGTTATGACATGGTTTGCTTTGAATGTTTTCAACTACTACTCAGTCACTTAATTGCTATACGTAATACACGCTTGGGCGATCATGTATCTTTCGATACATGACTGACGAGACGGATGTTTTCCCGCAGTAGATTGCCATTTGTTTCTGCGGTACACTGGTTGCCAACTAAGGCTAAAGAACCCAGTCTGTCCTGCTATTATCTATAGCTTGCAGAGCGGGGAAGAGACGGATTCATACCTTTCCCGAGGGTATTTGTGCGTAAGTGAATCTAAGGAACTCGACTGGAATTCGAACTCGGCTCTTCAAGTTCCCACTCCGAGCCGTACTATTACTCTCTGTTTACCAACCTCCCTACAAGGCAAGATGTGGCACAAAGCCAGTTTTTAACGTGGGGCATTCCAAGCCCGTAAGCTCAGGCAAAAATTGTCCGTAGACCCCATATACACAGGGTTGGGTTTGTCTACCTCCACAAACGAGACCCTACCCTTCGGCATAGCCCAACAGGGTTCCTCTTCACCCGGAGACAGAGAGTTTAACAAGAGAGGAAGAGAAATCCTCCTCCTCCTCTCTAAAAATACATTAAAAAAAAAATAAAAATAGAATGCAGTTTTGTTTTTCATTCTAAATGTGCTGGCAGTCTAATGGGAAATGGAATTCCAACCTAGTCTGTTGAATTCACTTTGCTCAAATGTCCATGGGGAAAGCTATAACCCCATCTTTCTTCCTTGTCAGCAATGTGTTAAAAATAGCAGGGTAGACTAAACCCTCTAACCTTGGATGGCAACCAATTTGAGAAGGGCGATGCCGAATTCAACAGTGGAGAAAGCAATGCTAAACCACTTCAATATTTTCCCTAAAAAGTCCTGGCAATTCACAGATATCAAAGCAATGGAAGCTGTAGAGAGCCATTTACAGGTATCCTAGAATGCTGAGAAACTAACAAACTCCTCAATCTCTACCACTGAATTCTGTTTCAGGTTGTCTATTTATTTATCAAAGGGATTCTAAGGTGCACATTCATGGCCTCGGTGAGCATGTTCAGGAAAACCTCTCAATAGAAATTGAACCTCCGGGTCATTTTTACATGATTTTGACTCTCACTGTTAAACTCTGTTAGTTATCCTTTCTTCTTCCATTACTGATTCCTTTTCTTCTAAGGACCGTATTTTATTAGATAGAATATCTGACAGTATAGAAATGGCTCTCTCTTCATTGGTCTGCAAATATCTTTGTGTTTGGAGACTTCATGTCATGTCAAGTGTTTTCACTGTTGATCTTGCTAGTATCAACCCTTTGAAATTTTAGTTGCTCAATCTCTCAATTGAATAGTTGATTTCCCTACTAATTCTGATGGACTTGATTCCTTATTTGATCTGTTCCTTATTTCCTCTCTGGACTAGTTCACTTTACAACTCTGTCCTTTTGGCAACTTGGTTCACACTGTAGTGTCAGATGTTTCTTTCTGTTCGTCTATTAGGCAAGAACCCCATCATTTTTCTTTTAAAAAGTTCAAAACATTGGGAATATCAAATTTTAATAACAAATATATGTAATTACAAAAAATACTGTATTATTATTAATAATAATAATAAAAAGAAATTATACATAGACAAAATAAATTCGTGATTTTTTGACATTGCTTTTATTTTATAATATTGTCAATATTTGCTTTTATGGTACTTGTCTTTATTCTAAGAATGTTACTTAAATGGGAATCACTCAACCTATTTCTTTCATTTGTTAATTTTTATTTAGCTCTGGCTCTGTGTCTTCTTGAAAAAGGCCTTTGCCCCGTTCCCATTTTAAAGGAATGGGGGAAGTGAATCTCCTAGGAAAATCTAAGAATAATTTTCTTGAAATGGGTAAATAAAGTAAATGAAAATAAACCCAAAGATTTTAGGGTGCAGTGGGCTGCATGAACATATTGAATGGGCTGCAGTTTGAATGTCCCTGGCTTGTAACAACTAAATCTTATGTCTACCACTCCAAGTTGACAATTTGTAGGCATTCTTTCCAGACTCATGAGAAGAATTCTTGTATAGATGTATAAAATATTACATCTTAAATAAAGCTTTAAAATAAACATTGGAAACAACTTCTTTACAGATTTACTATTGCAACATTTAAATATGAATAATGCATTATTAAATTATTATTGAGTTAAGTTGTATGGATAACAATAATTTATTTCTTTATGAATGAATTAAAAAAAAAAGAAAAAAAAGAAGCCTATAGGACATTTGGGAAGATGTATTGTACTAAATGGTGCTTGCGTTTAAAATATAATTTACTTCATTTTGGTATATGTTTCATTCTATTTGGTCTGAAACTAACTTTATAGAATTAGAAACCGGTTGGGTCATAAACAATTTCTGTTTTTGTTTCATCAACTTCATTCTTCAAAATATTGTAATTGGTTCCCCAGAACTGATGAGTCAGTATTATTGCAGTTTTTGATGGTTGTAAGTTTTCTTCTTTTCATGTTATGTCTTTTTAGGACATGGGTGATTGCGGCTTTCCACAACTTCCTGTCTTATAAGTAACTTTTAACCTTTTTATTGTCTCTCTTTCAAACTTGTTAAATAGGTACTCACAGTTTTCTCCAGCTTCTCATACTTTGAGTACATCTTGTGTGTGTCAAATTCTTCCAGCCCTCTTTCCTCATATGTCCCGGAAATTTCAGCTGTATCTGATTGTCGGCAGCAGTTTCTTTGTGGCTTCCATTTTCCTTAAAACTTCCTCTTTATTCACATAATCTGTCCATTGTATTATCAGCATTCATCAGTATAGCTATATCTTTGTCAATTCAGTTCTTTTTCCCTATCTATGTGGATTCACTGTCATACAGGAGATATTACATAGCAGTTCAGTACTCTTTTCCTTGTTTCTAAGTGCATTTTATTTGTTTTAATTCTTTGCTTAGTTTCTGAAAGGCATTTTTCGCTATTCCTACCACAGACTTCTGTCACATGTGACTACACTGTCCGAATAGCAATTTTCCACATCTACTTCATTATGATGTCCCCAATGCATAGCTCATATCTTGGCCCGTTCTTTTACAGTTAATGGTTAGTACTTTCTTCTTGATTTCTTTTATTATATTTCATATTTCTTTCTGAGTTTGTCATTAACACTGTGTCATCTGCATATCTTCTCTTAAGATTGTCTGCCAGGAGGATTTTTGTTTATAAATTCATTTAAAGAGTAACTATAGTCTCTTTGAGTCTTACACTTCTAAAAGTAAGATAAATAACAAATAAGAAACGTTTCTCAATCTAACATGTTTCACTTTTATTGAAGCTTCATCAGAGAATTAAATATAGAGAAAAAGAAGAAAGAAATTCTAGTATTTTTACTTTTATGTTGTTTGACCTTCTTTGGTTAATCAGATTTCACATGCATTCGACTTGTTAAACCAACATTAGTATAATTCGTGGTGTTCAAGGAAAGACAATGCATCCATTCAGAATTTGAGGAAATTAATGGATTCCAAGCTTAACTGAAATACTGTAAATATTGCTTTTTGTGTGTAAGTGTATAATAATTCAAGTTTGTGTATTATTTACAAACATAATGTCTAATAGACAGATATACACGCACACACAATGGTACATCATCTTCTGCATGGACATTTTGTCTCTCCTTGAATTTGGAACACCACAAATTATACTAATGATGGTTCAACATGATTAACCAAATAAAATCAAACAACATAAAAGTAAAAATACCAGAATTTCTTTTTTCTTTTCCTTCATATTTCATTCTCTGATGAAGCTTTAATAAAAGTCAAATATGTTAGATTGAGAAACGTTTGCTATTTCTTCTTTATCTTATCATTCTGTTTGATTCTGATCCATATTTGATCCCAACTCATCTTGTCTGAACATGGAAACTAGTTCTAAAAATATAAAGAAATTATTAAGATATATTAAACTTACCTACAGATTATGCTATTGGAATAAATGTCACTTTTTTTCTTGTCCATATTTTATTCATTTTTAGGATCTTCATTAGGATTGATTAAGATCACCTGAATTGAATTCCCTTTTTTTCCTTATTTTGATAATACAATCTACTTATACTTTTTCATAATTTATCCTCAATTTTTTCAGTCCAATTACTTTTTTTTTTTTTTTTTTTTTTTATTTATCTAAATACATTTATTTTATTTTAACTTTTCAGGAATATATAATAGCTCTTACAAAGCCTTCAGAAAGTAAAGTACTTCCTTTTCCTGTGGAAATGTATGATTTTGGTGACCAAGAGTATTTAGAATGTATTGAGAAACAAACAAGAGCTCATATTGAGCAAACTGGTTCAGGTTCGGTTAAAATTCACGGCAATTCATTATCTGTGACACTTGCACTCTCTATCCTCGAAGACAAAATTAACAATTTCATAAACCGCAAAAAGACGCTTGGAGATATTACGAAGCATCGTGATGTTCCTAATTTTCCATTAGAAAATGGATTTCGATGTTTAAACGATAGTCCACAGAAACGTTTGTCTGATTTTAATGATTACAATAGCAAAACTACAGATTCACCTTCTTGTGTAAAACATTCTATTCTTGAGAATTTTTCTCACAATAATTCAAATTCATCACAAGATTCTATGAATAATTTACTTTCTATTCCAAGATCACAATTTAAAAATGATAAAATATTGCAAAATCCATCTTTGACCAATTTGAGGTATTCAAAAATGAGTGTATTTGAAAATGCACTTGGTGACACTGATAAGGAACATTCTGCTAGGATGGTTGTGCATCAACCAAGCAGTGAAATATCTTCTGAAGCATGTGCACTTTCATCAGAAAGGTTGACTTTTTTCACTAATCTTGCAAAACAAATTGGACATGTTCCATCCGATATACAGGAAGCTTTAAAAATGGCATCAGATGACATGAAACCTTCACATTTCATTCGGTTATTAAACAACATCAAAGAAGAGAGAGAAATAGTTGAAAAAGAAGAAAGAGAAAACGATAACCAAACTGTTTCTGACTGCTCTCAAAGTACAGACTCTAAATTGCCAATAAAGTACATAGAATTGCTTCTGAATGACTATAAAGAAGAAGCAGGAATTTCTTCCATTGAAGAACTGAAAAGGAGGAACCAGGCAAGACAGCAATGTTTGCAACAGCATACCCAGAATTCTAAGAAGAGTTCCCCAAAAGATTTTCTTCCTCAGACAGGCTGGGATTCTACAAAAAAGAAAAAAACAAAAAAAAAACCTGTGAGAATGCCAGACACTGTACAAATAGTATCTAGTAATTATCCAGAAACCATGTCACATATTAACAGTGAAAAAACTCCTAGTCTTGGTTTGTGCCATGAGAATGGAAAATCTATTAATGATAAAATTACTTCAAGTCATTCATATAAATCTGCTGTCATGTGTTCTTCAGATGTAGAAGAAAGTTCAGCTGTATCTTTTCGGTCACCTCTTGGTAAGGCTGCAAATTCTTCCTTTATCTATTCAGATAAACGTCATACAGAAAGTGATCTTCGGACTTGTATGTTAAACAAGACAGATGAACATCACGCGTATTATTCATCTGCAAATTATGGATCTGTTGAAAAAATGGAATCTAATCATTTTCTCGCGCAAATGGATTTAGAGAAAAATGACACGCCTGACAACGATGACCTCAGATACATTGTGATTGATGGGAGCAATATTGCCATGGCGTAAGTATCTTCCTGCTCACCTTTCTAACTATTTATGTTCTAACGTTCTTTGTAATGGCTCATGGCTGTCAAGATTTTGAAAAAACAAATTTATTTTGTGAGAACAACTTGAAGGTAAAGCAGCGAGAGGGGAGGGACATTCAAAGAGAGAATGAATTAAAACTGAAACAGAGGAGAAAAGGAAGTGGGAAACATATAAAGCAGGATAATAAAAAGTTATATTAAAAAAAAAAAAAAGTTACATTCTTATGAAATGCAAAGTGTTTGTTGAAAATGAAGTGCTATGAAATTTAAAAATTAACCAAGATATAACAAAAACGCAGATGAAAGACTGGTTTTGCTTTTTGTGAAACCTAAATTCTTTATTGTTAAATGAAATTTTTGGTATAATGGGTTTGAATGAGAAATTGAAGAGTCTGGTTCATTGCATTTACTTACATGCAAATACTCTTGGGAAATGTATGAAGCCATTTCCTGCCCCAGCTATGGGTTAAATAGTAAGACTTGTATCTGGAAAAATCAATGTTAGTCTCAAAAATATTGCAATGTTCAAAACAAAGATTTTTTTTCTTACAAACCAAAATATGTTTTGACTTTAAATATCCCCCAAAGGGCAGATAAAGCATAAAACCAAATCAAATTATCTCCCACCCCAAGTTTTGGAAAAATTCCATGAAATCAATGAACTCACTCTGTGAAATAGTTTCCTTACAAATAACCTTTTAGGTAATATATTCTTCATTCTGAAATTATCAAGCTCTTACTTATTTTAAATCATATACTTAAAAGTTATGAAGAAAATCACCTTTTGATCAAATGGCAAACCTTCAAGTGGTCATCTTGACTTTGGTCATTCATTTGGAACTCGAGAATAAATATTCTCTGGTTACATTTTCTTGTCCATGTGGGCAATTGAAAAATTCAGTTTAAAATATTAAAGCAGAGCTTAATTTGAAAAAAAAAAATAAAAAAAAACTTTTCAGAAGTTAATGAGTTTAAATCTAGTTTTAAGGTTTTGTTTTTATAAATATATTCATTATCATTTTTATTTTTTGTTTCTTTTCTTGCCCAATTGCTGCAATGTTTGTTTTTATAACACAAATAAATTTGGGAATTTTCAAATTTGAGTACTGACTGAAATTTCAAAACCAAACTGACACCACCCACTGCTCATGGATTTGATACTGCTCCTGAGTTTGAGCATATTATCTTAAATGGTTGTCCTAAGTAAACCAACTGCATGATTCGTTCCTATCCAATAGACATATTGGACATGAGAATAGAATCAATTAAAAGCATGGCTGTTATTTCACTAAAATAGCCCCTAAATATTTGAGTACAGGTGTATAAACACATCAGATTTCCATACAGGGTGATAGTACTTTCAAAGAAATTCTATAATACTATGATATTCATTGCCTTGGATTTTAGTATAGGAAGTATGGTTAGTGTAATATTTAGTGACTTGGTAAGAGACATTGACGTGCCAAGTTTGAATTCCAGCTGAATTTGTTACATTTACTTTTGTACAGATACTCATGGGAAAGACATGAAACCATGTCTCTTTCCCACTATGGGTTAAATAGCAGAGCAGACTGGCCTCTTTAGCCTTGGTTGGCAAAAAAATCCAGAAGAAAGACAACTTTGAATTTAAGACCTGAGGAGAGCCGTTTGGAGACTGTGGCACACTGTGCACAAGTTCTAATTCTTCTGAGCCCATCTAAATCTCATTCTTCTGAAAAGTATAACTGCTTCTGCACAAGTGTTCACCACTAAAAAATCAATTCATATGTTGTGTATGTAGTGTGGCATTTCAATTCTCTCAAACTGAATTGTTGAGTCCCTATATGCCATGATCAACAGGAAAACCCTGGTTGTCATATATATATATATATATATATATATATATATATATATATATATATATATAAAATTTAAAAGAAAAACAGACCACTTTAAGGTACCATTATAATAATTTATTTCACCAGAGCCCTTTTAAAGGATGCCGGATCATCAGACAGCACTTCCAAAAATGAAATGAAACGAAAAATGAAATTAAAATTGATGGGTAGTGTAAGTTTTTGTAATTTAACAGTTAAATAGACATGGTAGAGTATAGGGAGGGATTAATTTCATATCTCTCTCAAGTATACTTTATATTGGGGGAGGAGGAGTGACCAGACCATGACCTATTTAGATGGTTAACTTAACAGAAGTGATATATTGAAATGAGAGGGGAGAAAAGGAAAAAAAAAAAAAACTCTACCATGTCTCTTTAACAACCCTTTTACACTCTCTGTTAAATTACAAAAACTTACACTACCCATCAATTTTAATTTCATTTTTGGAAGTGCTATCTGATGATCCAGCGTCCTTTAAAAGGGTTCTGGTGAAATAAATTATTATAATGGTACCTTAAAGTGGTCTGTTTTTCTTTTAAATATTAGCTCTAGATTTACATTGAGCTCTCAGGATTTCATCCTCCTTGGGATTACCCATATGGATTACCAAGTTCTTCATAACTTAATTATTTTTTTTATATATATACACGCATGCGTGCACAGAGGGTGTGATGGGTAAATTCTTGCCATTTTATATTTTTCATTTTGCGCACGTGTTTTTTTTTTTTTTTTTTTTTTTTTTTTTTATTTTGTTGATTGCACAGTTTAGTAGGGTCAGTTGGGAACTGTGAGAAAAAGAGTACCATGATGCAGTTCATTCCACCAGAAATTTGGAAATGGTATGCTGTACTGCTTGGTATTTGTGCTGGAAGCTCCAATACAAACATTTCAGAGTGTTTGGGTGTCAATCTGCGGACAGTGCAGAGGATTCAGAAAGAGATGGATGAGTCTAATGGTGATTATGAGGGTGTTTGAAGTGATCACATGTGATGGTAACATGCCTCCATTCATTTTCCCACAGGGCATCACTCAACACAGAGGTCTACATCAAGTCCCCTGAGAAGGTAGTGCTGGCCTGGGTCAAAAGGGTGATTGCTGCAGGACACTATGTCTGGCAAGAGGACTCTGCACCATGCCACATGAGCAGGAGAATCCAGTCATGGCTGTCAGACAATTTCACCCCTAATGTCTGGCTACCTAACTCCCCTGATTATTATGTGTAAGGTGCAGTTGAATGAGAGACCAACAAAACTCCTTGTAATACCGATGATAAACTGAAGGCAAGGATTATGACAGCATTCATCAATTTAAACCAGGGTTTGGCAACTCATTCAACCCTGCGAGCTGGATCGTGTTATAATGATGGGTCGAGGGCTGAACGAAGGCCATTAATGAAAAATTAAGGAAAATTACATATGCAGACTCCTGTCAACCTAAATATTTAAAACCATAATGAAAATAAACATTGAGAAATCAGAAAAACAAAAGAAAATCTAAAATTAAAAAACACCTAAGAAAAATTCCTTTTCCTCAAGGAACGTCAAAATACTTCAAAGTGAAAAAAATCAACCGAAGCGAAATGGATGAAATTATGATGTGTAGGTTTGAAACTGTTATTGAAAATTGTTCATGTTAGAACCACACACACACACACACACACACACACACACATAAAACAAAAACGAAGCCCATATAACCATACATACGAGTACAAATAGTTGCAAACATATACACTTATGTATGTACACATGCGGTATCATCCACACATTCATGAGGCATGTATGTATAATGCGCATATGTTTAACTGTCTTTAGATTTCTGCTACCTCCCTGGCCTCTTTCACTTTATCATTCCTTTCGCTTCTGTTATCTTTTAATGTAGCCAAGGGTCATAACAAATATGTATCCATTATTTGACTTTAAACGTAGGCAATGCAACTTGGTAAAATAAGTCTCATGAAAGATAACTGGCAGATTGTCTACACATCTCAGTGCACTAAAAATATTAGACTTTCTATGGAAAATGACATAACAAATTTCATTTGAAGGTTGTCTCTCATATTAAAAATAGTCATTGGTAATCAGGCTCGCGGGCCGGATCTGGCCGACCCTTGATTTAAACAAAGAGATCGTCCAAAAGAGTTGCAGGAGATTCCGAAGTCGTCTGGAGGCTGTGGTTGAAGCCAATGGCGATTTTATTGAATAAATCTACTCTTTAGTATTTATTTCATATTTCTGTGTAATTTTGGTAAATATATCTGTTAAAATGAGATGTCGATATTATTTTCATTTTTGCATAATTAAGACTACATTTTATACATTGTGCCATGTATATACAGTGTTATGGCCCTAGAAATTGTTTGACTGTTATGACTGGTTTCTCCTGATTGTGTGGCATGGTGCAGAGTCCTGTTGCCAGACATAGGGTCTTCCAGCAGTCACCCTCTTGACCCAGAGCAGCACTACTTCCACAAGGTACTTGATATAGGCCTCCAGATTGAGTCTGTGGTCCTCACCAACAAATTCAGGTGTACTTTTCTTATTAGAATGATCAAAGTGAGTTTTCCAAGTGGTTGTACCTTTATAATCATCATTAGACTCGGCCAACACTTTCCAAATCCTCTGCACTGTCCTCAGATTGACACCCAAACATTCTGAAATATTTGTATTGGAGTTTCCAGTATGAATGCCAAGTAGTACAGCATACCATTTCTTAAATTTCTGGCAAAGTGAATTGCGTCATGGTGCTCTTTTCTCACAGATGGTGCCCAATTGACCCTTCTATGCTGTGCAGTTGTCAAAAACAAACACACATACGCAAAATTAAAAGTATAAAATGGCGGTAATTTATCCATCACACTGTGTGTGTGTTATATATAAAATAATTATTATTATTTTTTATGATTGAAATTGAAAGTTTGTTCACTGAATTATATCTTGTTTTTTAATTAAAATTTCTTTCTTTTTTTTTTTCTTATCTAGGCATGGCAATGGAAAGTTTTCTTGTAAAGGTATTCAGATAGCTGTAAACTATTTTGTCCAGAGAGGTCATAATGTGATGGTATTTGTACCTCAACACAAACTTTGTGCACCTGGCCCCAATAATATAATACTTGATCAGGAAATCTTGTATCAATTAAAAGAAAAAGGCCATCTTGCTTTTACACCTTCAAGGAAACTTCAAGGCAAATTAATTAATTGCTATGATGACAGGTAAATATAAATCATTGATAATGATATTAAGGTTTTGATTTTAATTAAATGCATATTCATATTTAATAAAAAAAAAAAGATTATTTTTTTTAAGAATTAATAGAAAATTATGAAATATGAATCAGTACTTCAATATATTCCAGTTCAGCATGTAAATATTGAAGGCTGCACATTCTTAAGTGCTCTTAAATAGAATCCGATAATTTTTGTAAATTTTTGTTGTGTTGTGAATAGAAGTTAGATTATTTTTATTAGTGTATTTTCGATAGGCACTTAATTTTAGATCATTAGTACATTGATATCGAGGAGTGGTAATTTATTGTTTGTTTCTGTTTAATATATAAATTCAATTGTATATTGTTTATTTACAAGCTGATGTAATTTAATTTGGCAGAAATATGTTAATAAAGCATCATCAATATATTGCAAGTCCTGGGTATGATGATAAACTACATCCAGCAGAAGGCCTCTGGTCAGGAGACTGGAGGTTTTGAGGAGCATGAACCGCCTTTTAATTGCCATTGTTCCCAGGTCCACCGTGACCTGGAGTGGTAGCACCTGTTAGGGTTCCAGCTATGGACAATGAACCCCCCAAACAAAAACAAAACACTCTGAAAGTATAAAAAAAATAACAGCAATACATTTTTCTATAAAAAAAAAGAAGAAAAAAAAAATATGACCAAAAATCATCATCCCCTTGATTATTGTAATTGTAGGGCGGATCCGAATGCAGAAGCCACACTAACTCTTTTCCTCCACAACAGTCTATCAATGGCAGCCATCAACAATTCTGGTACAGTCATGCCTGTCTGTTGTTTGACATTGTCCAAACAGTTTTTGCGTTGACGTACTCTCCTATGTGCACCTTCAATAGTGCCTTGCATAATGGTCTTGCACAGGCTGTTGTGCCTTGTAATGTGTCCAAACCACACCATTTTTTTCCGTTTGACAGTGGCAAGAAGAAGTTCCTGGTGTCCCACAAAACTTTCAACCCTTTTCTGCACAAACTCATTGTTTTTTTGTTTTTTTTGTTCACAATAGAAAATGCCAAGGAGTTTTCTCATGCATTTGTATCTGCCAACAGTGTCAACGTTTCACATCCATATAGGAGGATGGAGACCACCAGTGATTTGTACAAAAAATTCTGAAAAAACTGACACCAATACATTTTAGCTATAGTTGAAGGCGTACAGTTGCATTCAAAAATATTTAGATTTCAGCATTAAGTAGTCCATAGAGGTTGATAAGCTGCTAAACAAAATCAACCAAACAACCAACATGAAAGCACTCTCATGACATTAATCCATCTATCAGACAATTTCTTAAAGAAATCAAGCTCTATTCCAAAATACAAAAACAAAACTATAACATAAAACACACACATCACCGTTGCTGTTCATACAAACCTGTACATGCACAAAAGCTGAGTATCATCTACCATGGATTCAACTGTGAAAGCAGAATGACATATATTTTTATTAATTCAAATCTCCCAATAAAATTAAATGATCCATAAGGAGTTGATATGCCATTAGACAGAATGAAAACAATATATCAGAAATATATTACTTTGGTAAAAAAAATGTTTTGGAAGGAATCAGTCTCTAGAAATTTTAAGAAAAGACTAAGCTAAAACACTGCCAAACAGTTATCGCATTGGTAAACTGGGTTTTTATCTATAAAATCATTGTCAACAAAAGTGAAATAAAATTGATTTGTAATGAGTTGGTAAATCTTTATAAGGAGAGGCTAATTTTTGATTGTACTAGATAATTTTTTTTTTTTTTTATGTAAAATCTGGAAGGGTAAAGGAAAACTTTATGCCAACACATTTTATTACTTGAGGAACTTTATCAAGTTAAGTGTGGAAATTATATATCCACATTATTTCTGTGTATAACTACAGGTTACCAAATAAAATTTTCTTGAGAATATTCCTGATAATACTGAATCCCAATACACTGTCAGGCATATCACCAGCAGAATTGATGTTAGCAAGAAGAATTAAATCGTTGTTAGATAATTTGTTGCCAGTTAAAAAAGAATAAGAATAGATAACAAAAAGAACACCAAATTTTTTCAAAATTGACAAAAATTATTTTTCAGAGTAATATAAAAATGGAAAAGAAATGTGGGAAGACAGCGTAATAAGGTCCCAAATTGGAAAAATGATATATTTAGTCAAAGGAAAATGGGGAACACAAAAGGCACTGGAATCAGTTAAAAGAAAAGGTTTACTGAAGAAAGGTCCATTAAGAAAGGAGGAACCTATGCAAATACTGTATGAGATTTTGACGTACTGACACCCTAAAATTTATTGAACATACAAGTATGATTACCAGAAAAAAGAAAAACACATGGAATAACTAGAGGTTGACCCAAAATGGAAGAAATACAAAGTTCAATAAATGGCGAACTCGCCTGAAAGAGGAGCGGGTGAATACTAAGAAATAAAACATTTACTAGTGAAAAAAAAAAAAAAAAAACAACCTCCAAACGGGGATATGTGGACTAAATAAGACACCCCAAGTAACACAATATGAACTAGACAAGACGCCTTAATTAAAGAACTCAGTAGAAATCCATTGGAGTTACTCTTAGAGAATTTTGGTTATGTTATGGTGAGTAGCTTAAGCTAGACATAATAATATAACTGCTAGGAGTGAGTTATAATAGTTGCAATTACAGATTCACCAATCTTAAAAAAAACATTTCAACGGTAAGCCCCAATCCATGCTATTATGGTAACTGATGATGTCTGAAAAAAAAAATGTTAAGACATTAACTAGATAAAGACACCATTCCCACTTGCCTAAGTTCACTAGCAACACACAGGTGGCAGTTTAAAATGTGGGAGGTATTTTTGCTGTAGACTGTGTGTGTGTGTGTATATATATATATATATATATATATATATATACTAATACCTGCTTAACAGATCATGTTGACCAGTAAATTATAAGAGTTTAACACATTTAAAGACAGGCAGAATTTTGTAAAAAAATTTATTAAGACCTACAAAGGACAGGATTGTGGTGAGCTATGATCGCCCATGCCTTGAAGAGACACAGCACATAGAAGTAGTAGTATGTAGATATAAAACATAAGAATGTATAAAATCCAGAATAATTATTGGCTTCTATTTAAGAGTCCTTAGAATTTATAGCCCTCAATATTTACTTTTTGATATGGTAGTCATTTTTGGTTAGTGTAGCTTTGTACTGATTGGCTGTGAAGTTTTCACTCTAAATAAATAACATTGTGATTATCGAGTATCTTTTTTTTTTTTTTTTTTAACCTTTTCAATTGCCATAACAGAAGATAGGCTTTGAAAATACTAAGCAAAAATGAAAACATTTTTGTAGTTTTTTTCATTGATAATACATGAAAAGTCTTCAAGCTACTTATAACATTTTTACTTCACTTTGTATCATAGCTTAAATGTTTTTCAAAATTTTTGAATTATGACTTTTTTTTTTTTTTTGCTTTTGTTTTTAACTGTTGCTTTTGTATTTTCTTTATCTTTATTTTTTAGTCATTTCACAGCTTCTCCCAAATTTTGGGGTAGCATTTTGTGCACACATCTGTTATATCAATCTCATTATTTTTTTTTGTTTGTTTTGAAAATGCATTTAAAAGTTTATTTGATTAAAGAGTATATTTTAATCTATTCAACCTTTCACACTATTCTTAGTATTCTCTTTCTTATATATAAATACACACATACACATTTTTTTTTTAAATGGATTTTTATTCTCTATGTAGATTTATATTAAGTCTTGCTGAAAGAGAAGATGGCATAATTGTATCAAATGATCAGTACAGAGATCTGATGCAAGAAAAAGCAAGTTGGAAAGAAATTGTGGAAAAACGGTAAGTGATAAATGTCCTAAAAATAATAAATTATAGGATTTAATTTATTATCAAAAAAATGTCTAGAAAAATATTTGTGGATCTTTACAAATAGTGTCAAGGCTTTTTTTTTTTTTTTGTAGCTTTTGATAAATGAAATATTACTTCCACTTGGAGAATGTTAATTCATTTTCTTTTAAAAAAGAAAAAAAAATTCCAAGTGGATTGACAGAAAGTAATTGGTTGATTAGCTATTTGTTTTTTCTTGTGAGACATTTAAATCTTCAAAGATAAAATAAATTACCCTATTCCAATATTTGTTTATAAAATTCTCCAGTGGTTTTGATACATGAATTTATCAAGTGTTTTATCATCATTGCTCACCAAAAAGTCCAGCACAAATTAAATGTAGTCCACAGAATTTGGAGTGGCATAGACTCTCCAGATATGAGAAATTAAATTGGCAAGTCTCCAGGCATCAGAAGTTAAATTGAGGAAGAGAAATTTTAACACACTTATATTTGAATCATTGGGGAAATGCAAGTTGGAAGCAAGGGAGACAAACCTGCTTCTGCTACTTGGAACCATCCATTATGTTTGAGGAGAAATAACTGAATTAGTTAACAATCATTATTATAATTGCCTTGTTGTATATGCAAACTTGAGTAGATATAAGCTAAGGCCAGTGTAGTGCAAATCCACATTAATGACAATTGAACTTACTAGCAATGAATCCTGAGACTAACTTGTTAACAGTTGTCCTGCCTTTTTTATTTTCAATAAACAAATTCATAATTTCCTATTCATTTCCCCCAGTGTGACATGTTTTAGTCTTTTGTGTGCTCTTCTTGGTTTTCAGATTCATTTTATCTGAATATCACCTTTTTCTTTGAATTTGCCATCATCTTTTGTTTGCCTTAGACTTATTTTCTTTTATTCCAAAAAGGTCTATTCAGTTTACTAAGTTCAAATAAGGTAAAATAAAATTTTTACTTTATTGAACTGTTTACAATTATTTCCTGCTTTCTTTCAAACAATTCCAACTACTGGTATATTGCACTCTTTTCTTTTAAACCAATTTTAGATGTATGCTTTTGCTTAATTATTTGCTTTCAATTAGTCTAATTGGAAGCAGTACTTCTTTGAATCAATCATTTGCTTCTCTAGTCAAAGCTCTTAATAGAAGACACATTTCCAACCTCACCAGATACATAGCCTCACTTTCTTTTTTTGTTTTAATGAAGACGACTGGCCTTTGATACAGTTAATAGTAGTTAATTTCACTTGCCCCATAATCTTGTGCTTCACATTGTTGCAAAGTATCCGCTTTTCATGACATCTTACAATTTGTTTTAAAAACTGAACATTTTCCTGATGCATAAGTAACAGTTCATACTTTGTAAGGTTTTTTTTTTATTTTTTTTATTTATGTTGATATGAAGCACCAAAGTGACTATCAAAACAAAGTTGGTGCAAATGATTTTCAGCACTTGATTTGGCTATTTTGAACATGCTGTTGATCTGCTGTGATTATTCCCTTGTAATATCTCTATAGGATCACTTTAAAAACTTAATTAGTCTAGCCAACCATGGAACATCATTCAGTGAGAAATCTATGACTAGCACAAAACTTTGCAGATCTCTTTTGACATGTTTATCATTCATTTTTTTTTTTTTTTTCTGTCTCTTTTTAATGCCATGTCCTTTCAGGATGTTTGTAATCCTGATTCCACACAGCTTTTACTTTAATCTCTGGGAATTGACATGTCTTCTTGGGAAAGATAGTAGATGTGTATCCCATTAACCGCACAATTTGGAATTCAGAATTTTCTTTCTCTTAAACCGTTTGTCATCCAATGCTAGAGAATCCAGTCTACCCTACTATTTAATCCATGATTTGGTGGAGAGAAGAGATGGTCTTATACTTTTTCTTAGGTCATTTGTACAAAACTGAACAGACTAGCCTGCAATTTGAACTCTGCTCAGTGATTCAAGAGCATTCAATCATTTTCTTGTTACATTCTGAAAATGATACTGATTTTCTAACTACAGTGTTAAAATTAATCAACAAAAATGTCAATTTGAAAAATTAACAAGAAAATGCAATCTGTTGAGAATAGAGGACCAATTTTCCATTTCAAATTTTCTTTAATTCTGCTTTCAATTTTGGTAAATTCCATTTTTGTTTTTCTCTATTAAATTACTTTTTTTCCTTTTTGATTATATTTCATAGGAAAATTGCCATAAAATATACTGTGATTATAATAAACAAAACAAAATTCAAAATGTTTTATTGCATGTAAAGAAATAGCAGATATTTTCAATAAATATTAAAACAAATGAAAAATTCAAATCAAACAAATTGTAAAAGTAAAATAAAAACTAACTTGATAAAATAGTTGAATGTTATAGTGCATAATTATGTTTGAGGTAGAATTTTAATCAAAAATTCCTTCTTGAACAACAAATTGTTGTACATCAGAAAAGTAACTTTATTTTTTCTTTAAAATCAAAAGATTGAATAAATTGTTGCCTAATTATTGATTCCTGATATTGAAAAAAAATCCAAAAATTTGAGGAATCAGCAGCAAATAAGTTCAATTTCAATAAATATCTGAGTAAGTCAAAAATTCTGATTTCAAATTTTACAAAACTGAAATAAAAAAAACCCAACTGAATCAGTGTAACAAAAAAGTCAATAAATTCAAATTTTGCTAAACAAAAAAATTGATCTCAAGTTGAAGTATCTATATTGTTGAAATTATTCAAAAAATTGAATCTTTCCCAAATCAAAAAAATTAACAATCTTTGCACCTCTTTTGTACATATTTCAACTTTAATACAACATAAGTTGTTTAGTGTTTTCTGGGTTAAAACTTTCATGTTGATTATTGAGGAAATGAATATTCAACATCTATCCTGTCAACAGACATTCATATAGTTTTGTTGGTAATGTGTTCAAAAGAGGAAATCTGCTCTTATTTGTATTCCAAAATATTGGGATGCTAAAAGAATTTGGTAAGTCATTAATTTGCATAATTTTGGAAGTTGAGATCAGTAGAAGGATTTTGCCATCTTCTTAAAGGTTGCATTTTTCCACTTAATCTCCACCAGTTTATGTACCATATTTGTCTTGGTATAAGACACCCACATTGTTTTACAAGGATATTTTGAGGCTAAAAATTTTTTTAGCATGTGTATGTTTCATCATATATTTAATATATTTTAAAGTTGTTTTGTAGGGGGGAAACATGATATTTTTTTTTTTTTTTTTTATACCTGCAAATAGAATATTTTAACAGTAGACTGGAACAAAATATGAAATAATATTGTAATTTTAACCTTCAATGGAAACTAAATCAGAAAAAGAAAATACTTGTAATTTCTCATCTGTAATGCAGCTCTATTAGGTGCAGGTTTGTTCTTATAGTGCACTTAAAAATTTCTAAAAACGCATTTTATGCGAAGACAAATACAGTAAGTAAAATAGTAGAATATTTAATGGGGTTGGATGGATTCTTTCTACTGATTTAATTTCATCAGATCAATACAAAACTGTTTTGCTTGATTATATGAATTAATAAATATATATATATTTTTTTTTTAATTTTGTTTTCCTTTTAGATTACTTATGTATACATTTGTCAAGGACAATTTCATGCTTCCAGAAGATCCATTAGGAAGAGATGGTCCCATGCTTGATGAATTTTTAAGAAAAAGTCCCAAAGATGGAAACTGTACACCAAAAAAAAGGTAGGCATGTTTTTTATAATAGTTTGCTCGCTACAAGGCTCAAGAGCCACTCAAGATAGAGGGTTACTGTTAAAATGGTTATGATGAATGAGTTTTATGACGAATGAAAGAGGAGGTAGTAGGAAGTGATGTGAATTATATGAGGATAAATAATGATTGACCTTTCACTTAAAGTGGTTATGTTTGTAGTATTCAAGGAAGCATCCATATGAGAGTTTGTTCTACAAAGTAGCAGTTGTTAGTGTTGGTAAAAGCTGAGTGGAACTTTCTCCTTACATGTTAAATATGAAGGAAATAAGGGTGATAATATAGTCTACCACTCGGATGTAGCCTATTTTCGATTTTGTTGCCACTTGATTTCCAAAAATCCATTTACCTTCCATCTCCCCTCAGTTGAAGTGGATGTCATTTAGAAGACTGAACTTCAAAAGGAACTGTCCACAAGTCTATTAAACAAACACTTGAGATCAAGATAAAAACCATCTCTTCCCTTTTTTATGCGCATGTCCGTAGTATCACAGAGACAGGGAAATGTAAATAAAACCCTATTTGAATGTATTACATATTTATTATTAATAATGACAAAAGCCTGTTATTAAAATAATTATTTTATATGTTGTAAAAAAAAAAAAAAAAATTTTTTTTTTTTTTTTTTTGTTAGGTATGCAAAGAATTCTGATGAGGCTGAATTGATTTTTTTCCTTACTTTGATTATTAATCAGGTTGATTTATCAGAATGCAAATATATTCCGACCTAACCATTCGATCTTATGACATATATTTTATTAAGTATTTGATTGTTCGATCCTCTGAAGGTAAGCAAATAATGTATCCATTAAACTGCTTGAATATAAAGTGAACTTAATATAGAGAGACAATATTCTTTATTATTATTTCAATTATTCGCTTGCATTTGTTTTTTTTTTTGTTTTTTCAAATGCAAAAATATAGATGATTATAAATGTGAATATGTAAGATCAAAACATTTGCAGATTATGTAACCTAGTATATATAATACTAATAATACTATAATACTAATAGTCATTACTAACAGTATTAGACATTCACTTCCAACATGTGCCATATTTATCATACAATTAAAAATAACTCTTGTATATCCAATTTTTAATATATGTTTATGCTAATATTTCAAGAATTAAGCACACATACTGATACTATGAGGTAAACATGACACTCACAAAAATTGATACCTACCTACATACATACACCATAATGTGATGTCTACACAATGAAAACAAAATGAAAGAATTCTAAAATTGAAACAAATTCATTTCCAAAATTTCTGATGAAGCTAAATAAATAGCAAAACATGTTAAATTTATGAAGGGTTTTCCTTGTTCCTTATTTAATCATTTTATTACTATAATTCTAATGATTACAAAGATTAAAAGAAGAATGTTTATATTAATATTCTCGAGTTAATGTCACCTTTTATTTAAGTAATAAAGTGCTGCCCTCACAGATATGTGATTCACTTGCTTGGAAATCAAAGCAGTATTCACTTCATTAAATTTTAGTAACCAAGTTTGTTCTCATTCAAAAAGCCTAACATAAACAGGATATTTTTCTCTTGTTATTGCTTGAAACCATGACATTTGAATGAAAAAAGAATCCGAATAATTTTTATCGATATATTTCAATGCTGATAATCATTAGAGTTGAATTGTTGGCTACTTTATTGGTCTTGACAAACAGACTTTAACCATTATAACTCTGCATTAATTTTCAGAGTTGTCTCCCCTGGATCCATATTAATTTTGAGTGTAGTTAGTTTTTGAATGTTGGGTATATTACTAGCATTGTAACTTTAAGGTTTTAGAGATATTGTTATAAAATTTTCAAGGAATTTGCATGAAAGGATGTAAAAAGTGTAGACATATTTGTTTTTACTGTACATATAATAAATTTTAAGAAAAAAAATAAAATCATGAAAACTAAGAAAAAAATACGACAGAATTGATTTAAAAAAAGTAAAAGAAGATTCCTACTCATCACATTGTGAAAGCCTAGCATGTATAAAAGGCGGTCCAATAAAACAAATACAAAGGTCACTTTGTCAAACCTATCAACAAAGGCAAAAATGCTTTCATTTCTTCAAAACAAATGTTTTTCCAAGCTCTGATTTGTGAGTTGGGCTTTGCTGTGTCACCTAATTTTGTTTTCACATCATTTGCATACCAGTTAGCTTCCATTACCATTAACTGAATCACTACATCAGATAAAAAAAAGATGAAAAACGTCTATTTCACTAGCTTCTTGATTAACATTTGTATGTCTAGGAGTATAGGAAAACGCTGGTAGCCATTGGTGATTTTATGCTTGTGAGAGTTCGAAAATTCTTCCTTCTGGGTTGCAATCACTTTCAGTTCTCAGTCACTCACATCACCAATAACTGTGTGGGTAAATCTGAGAAATACTTCTTCATCACTCTCACTGTCCATGAAAAGTTCCTCTATTGACATAACAAATTCACATTTTCCCCCATGTTTTGTGATTGAAAAAAACGAATGTTTTTTAAAACATTTTATTAAAATTTACTGATAAAACAACTATTTCAATTAGGACAAAATGACTGACATCCAGTTATTTGGTGGATTCATACATTTCTTAAGGGTATTTGCACATAAGTGAATATAACAAACACAACTGAAATTGGAACTCTGATCTCCAATAAACAATTCTGACCCATTATCCATTACACCACCTGCACACTCAAGATTACAACACCTGATATTCCCAAGCAGTCCAGGCTTTGACATTGGTGATCATATGGACATATGGCCATAAGCCCTCCATCCAAAATCAAGGTTAAAGTGCTTCTCTCTTCCCTTTAGGTAAGGGCTTATGAGGACTTAGGTGGGGACATTCTAGTGCAACCATCAGTGGCTTCTGAACAGTTTTGTCTGATCAATTTCATTCACAATATTTGGATAAACCTGTATTATAGTTTTCAGGTAATTTTCACTGGTGCCTCAGGTTGGGATTGTCTCTGCAAGCCATTCTTAGTCACCTCCTTGACAAATTGACTATAGTGAGATTTGAATCTAGGTGTTATGATCTGAATGCTAACACATTAACCATTTAGCCATGCACCCAACTCTGAAAGAAATCATCGTTCATATTGAAATGTAAATGGTTAGCAATCAATGGAAAGATCCTTCCACGAGGTGTTATCTAGACAAATTGTTATTAAATGAAACAAATCAATGATTTGTATTTAAACTGAATTTATTTTTTTTCTTCTTCAGAAGTTGGAAACTGATTATCAACATGTGTAGTGCAGTGGCTTGAATGTTTGCATGTAGTTTGTTTATTGTTGTGGTGAGATTGCTCTTTGCTGAGTGCTCACATACTGTGGCTTTATGCTAGACTGTTTTTCTTTTTTTTTAAAGACTGTCCCTTTAATAAACGTGGCTCACCACAACTTCTTTTTCTTTAGTATCTCTGAATTGCCATGACTATTAGGAAATGTAGTGGAGTGGTTTCATGTTGCTTTCTTCACATCTTTTACCTCATTGTTTTACCAAGGCTAAAGAGCCCACCAGTCTGCTTCTATTATTTTACTATTATCATTGTAATATAGGTGGATTAATACCCTTAAATGATATTAGTGCAAAATGAATGCAATCTGCTGGAATTTGAACTTGGCTTGCTAATTCTATTATGCTACTTGCACATTAGACTAAGCTTAGTAAATGAAATATTTATCAACAAAGACATTGACTTTGATATTACGACCAATATTATATTTGTGCCCCTGACCTCCTCAATGCTAAAGCATTTACTTATTCAATCTACTTACTAATCCATGTGAACTTCAGAATTTAAATGTCTAGGTATATTTTGTAATTTATTTCTACCTTATTATTTGCCAAAAGAAATTCAATAAATTAAGATTAACTTGTTTTTAAAATATGATTGTTTTGAACTGAAAAAGATTTTGTAAATATCTTTTATTATTGTCATATAGGAAGAAAGGTAATTACCGACACCAAGGTTTGAGTGTGACACTCTGGACTTATGAATATGTTTTCTGCCAGGTTTAAATAACGGTGTCAAGCTACTGATTGCAGTGATTTATTGAGTTGATTATTGATTGAAACTATCCAGTAGAATTAGTGTTAATTATTGTGCATTGTTGGGCTTTGATTTAGAATTTACCGGACATTAAGCCAAGCCACGCTACTAACAAGGTATTCACTGAAATGGTTAATAATCTTTACTTGACTTTTATTTCTTTGTTCTCGTTAAGTATTTATTTGCGGTTTTGATTAAATACTGTTCTATTTTAACATTGAAGTCTTGAGTTATACTTGATTATTAACAGCCACTGTATGTCACAAAAATTATTTTATAATAATTATGGTTTTCAATTAATTGTAGACTATATGGCGTTGTCGTTTTGAATACCTTCCATATTTGATGGCTAATTGATAAGATTTTTGTCTACAAAATGAGTGAAAACTTGTGGTCTTATGAGAAAGATTTTAGGAGTAAATTTCAAGGAAAAGTGGGAGTTAGTATCCCGAAGGCATTACTTCATTGTCTTCAACTTTATTTTGGCATCATCTGCATCAACATTAGTTCCAAAATTTCTCTATCCTTGGCATGGAAAGGAGGACACTTTATACAATTCCTTGTTTTTTTTTCTCCATACAAACACACCCATGCCTCCAACCAGAAGAGCAAAATTTTCCAGACATAGATTTATGGCCGGAGGAGACTGATGGCTACCTTAGAAATTTTATATCTATATATATATATATATATATATATATAATATGCCAGTGCCATTAAGCTGTGCACCAATTAACCACGATGTCACTTAAGCCATGTATGCGCAATAGACCCCCCACAATTTTTTGTTATGTTCATATTAGAATCATAATCATCAGTAGAACCCAATTTCAAACTTGATTGTGATACTTTTTAAAGTTTGATTCCCCCCCCCCCCGTGTATAATCTTTTATTTTAATAAATTCATTAAATTGACTTTTAATACCTTCAGTATATCTATATTTTCCCAGGCATTTACTATTGTTTAGGCTTTGGCATTTTACACTGAAGACTGTGTAGTTGTTTGGATTAGCACTTCATGGACATTTTGAGTGTGAAATGTGCAACTTACAACCTTTATCTTAACTTAAAAATTTCATATATTTACTCAACTGGATTTACTTTAATATCAATAATGTGCTTTTCCAAATAATTTATATAATCTGCAGAGAAGAGCCATTTTAAATCATAAATTTTAAGGATTATTAATGGAGGCGGCCATTGCAGCCAAATAACACCTTTCAACTTTTTCAAAAAGTCCCTAAATCCCCTCACATTAAATTTTTGCATAAATACAGGCAAAAATTAGTTTTGCATGGTGTCCCTCTAGATATCATAACGATCACAACGTTTTTATACCTGGATATTAACCCATCGTCATGAAATGGAAATACAACTCGTACAGTGTTCAACAAAATCTAAATGTTGTTGAAAGCATACGAAATGGCACAGCTCGCAGCAAAGTCTCTAAAGAGGTGTACCAGAATCTACATTGAGAGGTTGGATCAAAAGAGTTTTTTTTTTTTTTTTTAGATGAGCTAGATATAGGAAGTTTGAAGAGGAAAAGGTCCAGAACTGCCAATGTATTGTAATGTTTTTATACAAAATCTTAATAAAACTACAAAAAAATTAATTTTATTTTTTTTTCTTGTTAAAATCTCCTGTATACAAGATTTCCACCATCTCTTTGTGTGTGTATATAAAATTGTGTATCTCTCTATATATATATATATATATATATATATATATATATATATATATATATATATATATATATAGAGAGAGAGAGAGAGAGAGATACATAGATAATGTAAGTTACTTCTCTACCAGTAATGAACATTTTTATTTAACTCTGAAATAGATTTTTATTGCATTTATATAGGTCTGTCCCTTTTGTTGCCCCAAAACGCATAGCATGAAGAAAAAAAGGCCCCCAAACTTAATAAAAACAAAATTTTATCGTGAAAAAGTTTATTATTAAGATTAAAGACCAAGGTATTTTTCAATTATTTTTTAAAATGTTCTTTTCATTTGCAGCATGTTTTAAATTTAGGTTGAAAATTTTTTTTTTTTTTTTTTTTTTTTTTTTTTTTTGGTAAAAAATTAGATAATAATTAGCATTATTTTTCACTGTTTCATTGCTTTCAGTTGAAAAAAACATTGATTTGGAAAATCTTGCAAAAATCAAGTACTTGTTGGATTTCAGAACTTATTCACAAATGAATGAAATTATTTTAGAAATCTTTGTCTTTTTGAAAGTTATGGTATAAATATTTTTTTTTATATATGTTACACCACTCGAACTTAATTTTATGAAAACTTCAAAAATTTATTTTTGTAACCTGAATTTTTTTTTAACTAAATGCACAAGCCTCTGAAGATTCTAAATCATTGATTTTTTTTTTTTTTTTTTTTTTTTGATAAAAAATGTGCAAAATTGTCCAAACTTTTACCTCAATTGTAAAAATACAAAACCCAATAAAACTAAGACACTATTTAATTAAAAAAGCTTTTTATGACTTTTCTGAATAACATATACTAAGGTAATTTTTATCTGAAAGGAAAAAAAAGTTTTGATGAAAAATATATTTTTATATTCATTTTTTCTTTTTTTTCTATTTTAAATACACAATATGACAAAATGTTGTTATATATTTTAAAATTAAGTTTCTTTATGCAACCTTATATTATGTTCTCTACTTTTTAAAGATCATTAATGAGCTTTCAAGCTCATTAAAATCTGACAACGTTGATATTTTTAAAATTTTTTAATATTCCAAAATTGTATTTAAAATCGTCTCCAATGAAAGTATGGATGCACAGCTTTGAAATAATGTCACATGAGGTAGACTTGTTTCTCTTGATAGAAGCAAGTTCTTTTTACTTCAGAAATTGCTTTGCATTCATTCAGTTAACAACACAGCAAAGTTTGAAATCAGTTGCATAGCATTCCAATGTTAATTTTATTAATAAATATGTATAAAACTCCCATGACTGCTATAACACAAGTATTAATAAATAGAAAAAAAGTCTGCCTTAATAAAAAGAAATAAAATCTCATTTCATTAAGTTAACCTGTTTCAATTATTAAATTTAATGGTGTTTCATGTAATTTTTATATTCTCAAAAATATTTCATGACAAATAATACAACTCAATTTAAAAAAAATGTTGTTACTGTTTTATTTTTACTTGTAAAATTTGATTTTTTTTTTTTTCATAATTTAAATGTTATTTTCAGCGCAGAAATTTTTCCTCAAACATAAGGTTAAAAAAAAAATTTGAAAGTCAATTTTTTTTTTTTTTTTTTTTTTTTATTTACTAACCAGGTTCGCTTAAAATTAGAACGAATTGCATCACTTCTGCGCTACCATACGATAAATTCCCCTGACGTAAGTTGTCAATATATTGACTTACATCAATTAATGCCCCTCAAACACGCTCCTAAGCAAGCACCACGGTCGGAAATATCTCTATTAAAAAATTTTCTGCTAAAAAAGTAAGTAATGTTTCTTTCAAATTACATTAAGTATACTTTAATCATTCTAAATTTCCTAAGATAACAAAAGAAAAAGGTGTAACTGAATTTTACATGATTTTTGTTTGATACATTTGATTTTTGTTTACAAACTTGGGCAGAAATGGCCGATAAGTTCGAATTTATGAAATTTTTTTGATTCGAGAAAAACAAGATTTTTAAGTAAAATTTTTAACATTTATAGGAAGGATTAAAAAATCTGAAAAAATATTCAGAAAATACTTTGGTCTTCTCTCTTTAATACTAACATAAACATTTACATGTTAAAAATTTTTTTATCAATTTGGGGACCTTTTTCTCCAGGGTATACCACTTTTTTTAGCATTATACAGGGACAGACCTACATTTATATAAGCAAATTTTAAATCAATTTAAATTCACATAGAATTGTTCTTATAAACCATTTTGTTTATAGTCCTATTCTTTGAACTCTTAATTATTTTTATTTAAACAAAAAACTTTTTTAACTGTTTTTCAAAAGTTCTTTTTCTTTTTTGGTGTAGTTCGCGACCAACATATCGGCCTCAGTTTGTGCCTCAAAGACAACTACCACAGCCACAGCTTAACTACCAAATATTACGTGGACGCTCCCGAACAAGGCAAGGCAATAATGTCCATTTAGATTCTTCTATACGCAGTACAGAAGAAACCCAGAGTCTTTATCGTGAACTGAAAACCTTATTTTCAGAAAGAGAGCAAGAAGAAATATTGAAAAAAGTCCTGTGTGATTATCCTTCTGAAAGAGACATGAACCGTTTATCTAACATCTGTGTTCAAATGATATTTGGAAACTAAAAGTTTGCCTATAATCTGCAAAAGTCACAAACTATATTGGCAGCTTGCAAAAGAAAAAAATTTCTAGTAATGAAAAATGTTCCCATTTCAGCTGTGATCCCTAATTAAATAAAAAGAATTGTGTTTTTCTGTTGATATAACAAATCTATTTGCATATTGAGTTGGTCTGCTTGTATGCATCTTTGAGTCATAATTAATCATCAAGGATTCTAGTGTGCCATGCTTTGTTGGATTGTTCTTTGTTTCATCAGATGCAATTCACTCCCACAATGTGTAAACACTTCACCTAATCTTTGCTTACATCTTCTATTTTGAAGTTCCTCTAAGGCAGATAATATTCCATAATGCATGGTATAATAAAAATCCATCTCTATAGTCAAGTTTACTTTTTGTTTTAAATTGTTTGATTTTTATTGAATGTTACAAAGACTGAATTTAATAAGATTTATTTTCAAATAATTTATTCTATAAATTGATTGGTGGAGAGAAAAATATTCAAAAGTTAAATAGAATGAAATGATTGGTCTCTTTTTTTTTTTTTTTTGCCTTTTTCATTTTCTTTATTTCAGTTTTAGTTTGTAATTGGCTCAAAAATTTAATTCTATTTTATTGTTTTCAAGGAAAGCAAAATCAGAATCCATTAAAATCCTTGATTTACACTTACAGGTCTTCCATCACTGACATTGATTTTATTTCATCGTAATATTTGCATTGGAATTAATTAATTAATTAATTAAATAATTAATCACATTGATACTTGCACTGAAAATGGCAATCCATTAATTGATGATTAATTAATTTTGGAAACTTTGTAAGAAAGTAACCATGTCAAAGAACAGAAACTATTTTTTTAATGCTGGAATAAAATCATGAGTAAGAAAATAATTATCCAAGCTGTTATTTATTCATTTAAAGAACTTGCAGCTTGTCTTAACAACATTATTCTTAAATAGCACCAAATAACCTGCTTATAGGCTACAAATCATAAATGCAGCACAAGGACTGAGTAAGGAGAAATAGAGCAAAATCAGTTTTTACTCCATCTTACCTTATTCTTATCAGGGCCTTAAGTATGCATTCTTTACATTGAAAGAACTCATTTCTGTCTGAATTTCTGGGATGATGTAATATCATTACTTACACTATTTATATTTGGGCTATTGTCCTCATTTTTGTTGTTGTTATCACAAAATTTTGGCCATTGTGCTCTCTGACCTTCCTCAGGTGAATATCAATCTAGATAACCTACAGTGAATTCTGAACTGAATCATTTATTTCAATGATTCTCAACGTGGGGCATGGTAATATTATGGTGGGGCATGCGTAGGATGTGCACCCTTCGGCTTACTGTACCAACCGAATAAGGGGGCAATTCAAGAATGAGTGATTAACAGTGAATTGTTTTCTAGTGAGTCTGAGTGAGAGTGTTAATGTTAATGCAAGTGATACATATACAGGATGCATACAAAAAAAATTTTGTGTATACGCTCCTGATTTAAGTTTTCGTACACTTTTTGTACAATTTCATAGAATTTTTGTCTCTGGTCTTATAATTTTGATCCAGTGTAAAACGCCTCATTTTATAAAAATGTCAATTTCTCAATAAAAGGTTCGGATTATAACATTTTGTCTACATAACCTTTTAGATTATAAAATTAGTAACCTTAAGTAAGAAATGTTCAAAATTTTTCCATGAAAAAGTCTTTTTAAAAAAAATTTTCAAGTGGTCTTAAAATTTGGATCAGGAGTGTATGTATATACATGTGTAATTGACATGTAAGAATTAAATATTACAGGGGTGGTGGGGTGCAGGGGAATTTTAGAAATACCAAAGTGTGGAATGGCCCAAAATTGGTTGGGAACCACTGCTTTATTTACTGAGCAGTACTAAAATAAAAACTAGATGGTATCCGTAGACATGGGCAATGGAATGAGAACAGTCTACCCTCTTCAATTAAATAAAAGGTTCAGTTCAGAATTTCCTGTCGGTAGCTCAGATTGATACACACCTGAAGAACGCCGAAATGTGATAACAACAATAAAGATGAGGACAATAATTGGAATATAAATAGTGTAAATAACTCATTGTTCACATTCTTAATTACAATAACACCTTACTTTCTTTATGGAGTGAGGCTATATAGTATAAGCTACCCCAAAATTTGACAAATTTGAACAATCTTGAAACTTCTGAGTGAGAGACACATATTATAATAGGTGTGGGGAGAAACTTCAAATAAAGTAGGCAAAAAGTGGTAGGAGAATTTTATGGTACTCCTTTATTAGTTTTCTAGGAGGGAGAAAACCTATTGTTTTCTAAGGAAGGAGATTATTTTTTGTTTTTAACTCTTGTACTTTCTTTTGTTAGAAACAAGGGGACATCCTCTTTAAAGTGTGTGTGTGTTGGGGGGGTAGGAATGCAAAAGTCGATCACTGGTTGAATGCATATTGAATTAGGAATTGAATTTTTGGACATTTTGCTAATAAAAATGTGTCTTAATTAATTAACATTTTATTTTAAAAAATTGTCAAATTAAATTTAATGTCTGTAAATATTCAATATCTATCATCATTATTATTACAACAACAATTATAATAATAATAACAATAGCATCAACAATAACAACAACTTTTGATTTGTAGAAGTTATGATAAAAATTAATACTCAACAAGAGAAAATTATGAAGCTTTCAGATTACCATTTACTTACCTCCCTTGAAAATTAGCTACTTTTTTTTTTTTTTTCTTATAAACACCCAGACTTTTCTTCATGATGGCGGGGAGGGGGTATTCTTGCGAAAGTGACATGTTGCTAAGAGATAGTAGATTGTGGAGAGACATGATCGCCCATGTCCTGAAAGGATACACCACATAGAAGTAAATACTATATGGTATATTGTCATCATGTCAACCTTGTTCAGATCTGCTTGAGTAGATAAAACAATTTTTCCCAGTCAACCATGGCCATTTATAGTTTGTCCATATTGAATCCAGCATTTTGAGTGAATTTGTCAATGGATGCCTTTGAAAAGGTATTCCAATGCCAGTATGTCCACTAAATGGTTTCCAGAGAAATGCATCACTAAGATGCTCTCCTGTGTTTCTCCAGAAAGTGTACAACAAATCTAAGTCTCTATTCCCTTATTACATCTTTTATGAAGACCAGTTTACCTTAGGGTCTTTCTTTTGTGGGGTGGTCATTCCAGGATGTGTTGGAAATGGCTTGTAGCATATGTGTTTAGTTACCATCTAATATATTTTCAAATCTGTTGATAAATATCCAAATATATGAACCATACAATCAACAACAACAAAATAAACCTTTTTTTTCTCTTTTTTTTTTTTCCCCCTATCAGATAGATCTGATTTCCAGATTAAAATTAGTTTCTTCAGAGCTACCCATGTTTTATCTACTCGTGTTAACTTCAGCCTTAGTGCATGCACTGTTACTACCGAGGTATGTGAAGGTATCCACAGATTTTCAGAAACAGCAAAGTTTAATTTAGCCACCACAATTGTAGCTGATTTATACTATTGTGAAATAGATGAACCGTAGAGTCAACAATAGCACAAAATAAAACTTTTTTTTATTATTCTGTCAAACAGATCTGATTTCCGGATTATGATTAGTTTCTTTAGAGCTACCCATGCTTTATCTACTCATGTTAACCTCAGTTTCAGTGGATGCTATGTTACTATATGAGGCTATCCAGAAAGAGAAAAGTTTAATTGTGACCCCACAATTGTCAACATATTCTGTATCAATTAATATCACTAGTCTATAATTAGCATTTAATTATTATCTCCCTTGATATTTTTCCTCTTAAATTTAGTGTAAACTAGCAGCATGGCCTGACGTTGCCTGTGCTTGATTCAAAAATCATACGACTCATACAGCAATCACTATCACTTGACTTAAAATAGTTTTGCCCTTCCTTGCCTTTAAAGGTGTGCCCTTTGCCGTGCTGATGTTGCTACATGCCTTACTTCTTGCCTATCTCACACAAACCGAATGAAAAAAGAATGTTAACAAATACTTTTTCACACCCAACCCAGTTCTGCGGAATCAGAATCAACGTTGAGTTTAAACAAGTGAATGAGCCAATTGGAGTAAAGTGCCATGCAGATTAAAATTTTTCCCACTTGTGACGAATGCAGCTATCAATTTTTTTTGCATGCTGGCATGCTAGTTAACATTCGTGTCTCACGCTGGCCAATAGAACCTTCCTGCATATTCGTGGCAGCCAGCTATAGGCTCTCACTCTGGCCAGTACAAAATGGCCGCAAACTACATGAAAACTGATGTAGGAGCATGAAAAAATCGATTATTTCCATTATCAATGGGAGTTAGAAAATGCCTTCCCGCTAACTTGGAGCATGTGCATGTAAATTTTGGTGCAAATCTGTCGAAAATTGCAGCCGTGCATTTGTTACACACACACACACACACACACACACACACACACACATCCTGCCTTTTATAGATAAAGACCCACCACCTTTATATTATTCAGTTCTTTATTTTCATTTATTTATATTTCTTCATTCAGGAAGTTTGTACATTTTCAGGGTACCTTAATTCGATACCTCTGACTATGTATACAGAGACATATAATGAAGGTGTCATCTATGTATCTTAACAATTTGTTCTAATGGTGATGTTCAGGTAGCAGGACTAAATGAATCTTCCAGTCACAAATTTTTTTTCTATGTGCCATGTCCCTTTAGGACATGGGTGACTGTGACTCTCCATAATCCCTTGTAGCTCTTAGCAACATTTATCTCCTTGCCAAGACTCTTACTCCTGTTCCACCATCAGTTCATACAAGCTCGTCAGGGTAAGGCGGCAGACCACCTACCTATCTCTTTTGGCTTCGATATATCCTGTGAGTGTCAAGTTCTCCAAGTCCCCCTTCCTCATTACAGTGTTTAACAACTTTTGTTGAGATTAGTGTATGAAGGTGTCATCTATATATCTTAACCAACTGTTCTAATGTTGA